AGGATGAGTAATTAATGACAGAATTTTCATTTTTGGGTGAACTAAGCCTTTAAGATGGTTGCTATTAAATCAAGTACAACTTGCATGCTGCTACAGGAAACATGTTTGAAAACAGTCATTATTTTTTACAATTCCACTTTGATATTACTTGCAAATAAATGGCAGGCCTTTGATCAAAGGGTTATTGGTGTGTTGCTTTTCCCTGTTCTTGCATGATTAATTTAGTATTTTTTTAAATGGCATCTGAATGAAATCTCAATTTTGTCACAAGAGTTAACCGGTTTGTTTGTGTGTTTAGAGAGGAGCAGGAGAAGCTGAATGTGTGGGTGGCCATGCTAAATCTGGAGAACATATACGGGACACAGGAAAGCTTGCAGAAAGTCTTTGAACGGGCCATCCAGTACTGTGAACCTCTTCATGTGTATCAGCAGCTAGCCGAAATTTATGCCAAGTCGGACAAGATCAAAGTAAGCATTATGTCCAGTCATGTGATGTGTGTTGTTGTTAGAAGGGATGCAGTGATAGATATTTTGGCTAAAGAGTGGGCGGTCTGACCAAATTTGTTTAATCATTCCGGTTTTTTTTTTTATTCTGCAAGGCATTAAATTGACCAAAAGTGACAGTAAAACATATATTGTTAAAAAAGTTTTGTATTTTCAATAAATGTTGTTCTTTGCTTTCTATTCATCAAAAAGGATCCTGAACATTTTTTTATTGCATTTTCACTTAAAATAACGGTTTTCAACATTTATAATAATAAGAAGAAATTATGGATCATGTGACACTGAAGACTGGAGTAATGATGCTGAAAATACTGCTTTGCATCATAGCAATAAATCATATTTTAAAACATATTTTAATAGAAAACAGCTTTTAGTAATATTTCACAATATGGTTTTTACTGTGTTTTAAATCAAATAACTGCAGCCATGGTGAGTGTGAGACTTTTAAAAACATTAAAAAAAAAAAAAAGTTTTACAGACCCCAACATTTTTTCATGTTTAAATATTTAATTACTAAAATAATATTTTATAAATATATGTGTATCAGAACATTACAACGTACAGATTACAACGTACAGTGTGAAATGCCTGTAAAATACAGATTTATTTTGAATTTAAAAATAAAACCATATATTAACTACTAATTTTGATTAATTTCGATAGTTGTTGATAGCAAGTTGTTTAGTGGATGAGAACAAATCAGTTGTCAACATTTGAAACCCTGTATTACATTTTGTATTTTGTGTGTGTGTGTGTGTGTAGGAGGCTGAGAATCTTTATAAAAGCATGGTGAAACGCTTCAAACAGGAGAAAGCTGTATATCTGAGTTATGGCAACTTCCTGCGATATTGGATAAGAACTGCTGGTTACTGATTATATATTTCATATTTCTGTAAGGACTACGCGGGATCTTCATGAAGACCTGTAGTACCGGTCAAACAGACAGTGCACTACACCTACAACCCTATTACCACATATATACGGCTGTCCATCGACAGCAGAAGTTTAATGTTTTCTTTTGTTGTCCTGGTTAGATCCCCTGAGGCAAACTCCTGAGATATTTACCTCTCATTTTGACGTCCGTTACCCAGCATGCACGGTGTGTCTCTCGCTTTAGAACCTCGGCACGATACTACTTTAAAGATTATTGTGGCACGATATATAGGAGATTATTCTTATGTTTGGCTACTGGCAATATGGTACTGAATCACTAGTGTCGTCCTGGTTTCTCGCGTTCTCCGGGTCCGCTGTGGCGGTGCATATAGATGGCTTTTGAGAGCCTTGGCAAGTCACATGATATGTACCAACAATCGCAGAACTAGAGGGTGTTAATCTGGCCGTGGGCCGTACAGTTTCTGGGGTCACACCTCCTCGGGGTCTTGCAGCCCCTCGGCTCCTCGCGGGGCGTCAGCATTGTGGAGACGCATGATGGGTTTATTGCACATTGGGCAGACGCTGCGGATCTCTAGCCATTTCAGCAGGCACCTGCAATTATAATGAAACGAGTTTTTCTAAATTGATATTTATACATTATCTGAATGCTGAATAAATAAGCTTTCCATTGATGTAGGGTTTGTTAGGATAGGACAATATTTGGTCGGCTATTTGAACTTTCCATTGATGTAGGGTTTGTTAGAATAGGACAATATTTGGTCGAGATACAGCTATTTGAAAATCTGGAATCTTGAGATTTTGCAAAAAATAATCAAAATATTGAGAAAATCGCCTTTAAAGCTGTCCAAATGTAGTCCTTAGCAATGCATATTACTAATCAAAACTTCAGTTTTGATATTTACGGTAGGAAATTAACAAAACTTCATGGAACATGATCTTTACTTAATGCATCCTTGCTACATAAAAGTATTAATTTCTTTCAAAGAAAATTACTGATATATTTAAATAAATATTGTGCAAGGGCATGAACTGTGAATGATGAGTTTTCTATGGAATTCTGCTGGCTATTCCAAGCAGGTCTTGGCATGAAGTAAATGTGACATTCCCCATTAAGTAAACACTTGTTTCAGTGGAACTCACTTCTTATGGAAGGTGTGTGAACACGGGCAGATGCCCAGCTCATCTCTGGTCTTGAATTCCTCGAGACACACGGCACAGGGCTGCTGTGATACACAAGAAACAAGCTATTTTAGTCTCCTTTTCTTTTACACACAACTGCTTCAG